TCCCTCCCGGTCGGCGATTGGCCTGCTATTGGGGCTCTCCCCTCCGTCGCCGGCGAAGCTCTGACTGGTGGAGGTAAGTCCTTTGTTTTCCACTATATCTGCAATCGCTGGGATCTGCCTTTTTCCGGCGGGGCTTGGAACTCAGGTCGGGGAGTCTGTGGAGGTGTTAGGTGGAGTGCGCGTCTTTGGATTGGGCGGGACTCCGATGGCTGTGACGCACAAGTTGCGGTGGCTGCGGTTGTCGGGGTGAGGGTCTGTTTCCCTCTCACAATCTTCTGGTCAGCTAGTGGTGTTAAGCGGTGGGGGAATCGGTTTTATCGGCCTCGTCTAGTGGTGTTAGAAGAGTTCGAGTGGGCCGGTGTGAGGGTTGAAATGGCTCTTTCGGTTATAGACGGGTCGATTCGGGGACTGATTCGGGGTTAGGTTGCTTCTACTGTATAGGCGGTTTGCAGTTTCGGTAGCCGTCTCTTGGCCTAGTATCTGTCTTATGTCGATCGTTCACTACTGGTTTGGGCTCATTCATTCACTGGGGAAGGGTTTGTTTGTGTTTGTTTTTGTTTGTTTTGTGTAGTTTGTATTGTCTTTGTCGGTGTATTGCCATTGTCTGTATTTGTGTTTTAGGATTGGGCCGTTGGCCTCGGTTAGCCGGAGTGTGACTTTATTATCCTGTTGGGACCTTACACTTGGGCATTACCCTGTTGGGGCCATTGTATTTGTGTCGTTGTGTTTTTATGTTTCTTGTGTTTTGCCGAGTATTACCCTTTTGGGGTCGGTTCTAGGCGGTCTTTTGACCTGTCCTCTTTGTTTTTGCAGTTGTTGGTTGTCTGTATTCAGCTGTTGACTGTTTGTATTCAACTGGTGGATGCTCTTTTGCACAATTGTGCGTTTTTATATATAATACCACTATCGTTTCGAAAAATAAAAATAAAAAATTAATCAATGATAAATATAGATCCTTGAATTCCTAGACAAAGTAAAGTTATGATTCAAACATTACCTAAAACTAGATAAAAATATAGTCTAACATAATAATAATAACAAATAAAACATAAAAAAGAGACAATATAATTATCTCTGGTGCGGCTAACGACAAATTACGTGTCTTCTCCCCTCTCGAGTCTGGCTTAGAGCATCTATATCATTATAAACATTCTTTTACACTTTTCAACATGCCACATTATTCAAAACATCATTTATACTTCTACATTCATAAACCTCGAACTACAATAAACCTCATAAACTTTTTTTTATGGTCACACATGTTTTTCACTTATTTTTATTTAATATTATACTCTTATATTTTTATTAATATTATTAAATTATAACTCCACTTTTTGTACTTTTAATATTTTTTTATTGAGATTTATGTGAGGCTTAAGAATGTAAATCTTGTTTACATTTATAAAACATTAAACCTCCTCGTTTAGTAGTAAACTCTGTAAAAGTGGAATTTATAAACATCACATAAACTAACTCCTTGATAAAGATACTCTTAGGACTTAGGAGAGGGAAGCAAAAATAATTAAGCTATGTTTGGTAGACAAATAAGCTAACTTATAGCTTATTTAATTAGCTTATAAATTTATTGTATTTAAATAAGTTTCATTAATAGCCGAGCTTTTTTAAAAAGCCTGAGTTTATCTCATAAACTTCTTATGGTAACTTTTCAAATAAGCTTGTTGAAATTTTTATTTTTAGCTAGTTTATCAGTTAATTTTACTAAATACTTTTATAATATAAGCTAGTTTTTCAACTATATATAAGTCATAACTCATAAGCTATAAAGCTCAAAAATTACTAATAAACTATAAACTAACTTATCAACTAGTTTTACCAAACACAAAGTCCACCTATTTCTATGTGGTGTCCCTGTAACTAATGTCCAGCCAAAATAAATCCTATGTATCTAAGCAAAAATTCTATGGAACCATCAGATGATTTTCTTATGGAGTCATCCACCACTTAATGTATTGACATCTATCCAAATTGTATTTATTGTAGGACACGTGTCAATACACTATTGATAAATAAGTAGGAATGACTCCATAAATCGAACCATCTGATGGCTCCATAGTAAAACTAGTATCTAGGACTATATTATTCGTCCAAATGGCTGCATGGACTCGTCCATGCTTTCCCACAAATTGAATTTTAATCCAAGTCTCCTCTAAGAATATATCTCAAGTGGGCTTGATTGTGAGTCCAAGTATTAGATTTTCTTGTAGTTTGGACAGTTTGACTTGGCCCACTTCAAAGTCAAACTCCCTTGGGCCTTAATTGTCTATATATTGGGGGTCCAATAAAGGCGCACATAAACTTCCTCTAATGTTTGGATCCACGAAAATACTTTAAAATATTGAAAAATAACATATAAAACATCAAAGTACAATCATGAATAAGCAAAAAATGTAGACGTGGGAATAAATTAAGTGTATAAAAATGCTCAAATAAATTTATAAAACACATATTTTTCGGCCTATTACTCATTGATGTGTAATTAATTTAAATTATATACAAAATAAAGTGCATATATAAATTTACGATTTATTCAAAAATGTCAATAGCACAACATAATGATTATCCTACTCTTAGAGCACAAAGCCAACAGTAATTACCCCATACAACATATATGACAATATCTTTTTGATTCTTGAATACTTTCGACTACATTCTCTTTATATTCATGGACTTCAAGTTCAAATTAGAACATCTAAAGAGAATATAGGCGAAAGAATTCAAGAATCAAAAGATATTGTCATATCTATATGATTGATCATGGTGACGATATCGAATTTATAGCCTAACCCAAATTTAGTGGGTGAGGTTATATACTACAATCAATTATTGTTTTATTTTATCAAGTACGCCAGTTTTACATTTTTGTTCATTATTCACCTAACTCTCCTTTTGGGACACTGAGAGCGCGTATTGTCACTTTGTGTTGAGTTGCTTTGTTTTAATTGCATGCATGTCATGTTTTTCGACATTGTTACTAGATAAAATTTTAATGGAAAATTCCAATGGAATTTGTTTTAATAGCATGCATGTCATGGTTTTGACATTGTTAATCACTACAAGAAAATGATATAATTTTAGTGGAAAATTCCAACGGCAAATATATTCTAGTAGAATTCCAATGACAATTCCAATGCCATTATTTCCATTGGAATTTTTTAATGGATTCCAACGAAAATATTCCGTTGGAAAGAGTTTTCCATTGAATTTTGACTATTCTAACGGTAAATTTTCTAACGGGTGTAAATAAAAATTCCAACGGAAATTGCATATTTCAAAGGAAATTTCAACGGTAAAAAACTGTTAGAAAAATAGCCGATGAATTCATCAAATTCTGTCTAAAATTTCAATGGAAAACTCATGCCAACAGAATATTTTCGTTGGAATTTCCGTTGAAATAATTTCAATGGAAGCTATACCATTGGATTATCCGTTGGAATTTTCATTGGAATATAATCCAATAGAATTTCCGTTGGAATATAACAATTATTTTGTAGTGAATGTGTAGCGCCCCAGTCGATATTAGAAGACATCTCGATTATTTAATTTATTTATGCAATTAGTTGCAATTAATTCTCTATGCTCGACAAGTTCTTCGAAATTAATTAGACGTTGGTGTCTATTTAATCCGTTAAGAGAAATAATTTATTTAGACGTTAGTGACTATTTAAATTATTCGAATTATCGAATATTCGTTAGCTATTCGATTTATTTATTTTAGTAGCCGTCGAAGCCATTTTAAATCCAATTTCGGTTTTGTTAATTTCATTTATTCTCGATTTTATGGAGACCGATTTTGAGCTTATATTTAAGCCCTTATAAGTATTTCTTACGGCCCTTATAAGTATTTTATATTCGGCCATTGAACTCTCCTTTTGTCTCCAAATAAATTAAGTTAATTTTGCAAACTTAAGAGTTCAATTTAAGTGAGATTTGTTAGATATTTTTCAGCCACGTTTCAGCTCAATTAGTATGAGTTTCGTGCAGTTATAAATTAATAATTTTTATTAAGTAATATTTATAAATTAAAAATATAGAATCAATATGTAATACATTTACCTATACTAATATATTGAAAATATTATATAAAGTTGAAATTGTATAAAATTACATAGGTGTCTATTTAAAATTAATATACTATCCATGTGGTGCACATAATTGATAATAAATTACATTATCTTCGTTTCAAAATAAGTATCATTTCAAAGATTTTTATTCAGAAATTCATGTAAATATAATGTGATTCCATAAAATAGTTATTTTGGTAAAATGTTATCATATATTTAACAACCAATGTGAATAATAAGTATAAATATAAAATTAAGTAGTTGAGTAATTTATTAAACTATAAATAATTAACTATTTCGTTTACATCAAAATTAGTATTGACCATAAGTTATTGAGTAATTTATTAAACTATAAATAATTGACTATTTCGTTTACGTCCAAGCTAATATTGACATGTAAGTTATGAATAATTATTTTTTTATTTTAAATTTTAAATAAAAAAAACTTTTTATTTTTTTAATATATTATATATCAAATTTAAACCATGCAACTAATAAATATATAGCTGCAAGTTTTGTCAATATATTATATTCTAAATTTAAATCATGCAATTAATAAAGGTAAAAGCCGCAATATTTGACCAAAATTTTGTACATTAATTTAGGCGAGATTTTTTATTTTTTTGCCAAAAATATTACTCAATATAATAAATACTTTAGATGAAAACTAAATGTTTTTTTTTTATTTTTAGTTGCTATTTGAAGTAAATATCATTAACTTTTTATATATTAATAGATAGATAAATTTCATGCCCGAACCTCCTCAAATTAGGAAGGAAAATATTTGTTCCTTCTCTACTATTTTTCTTTCCCCTCACGCAAGTATCAACCCCAAAGGGTCAAGAACAATTGAAATTCTTGTAATTCTTTCTTTTTCCCAACTTGCATATTAAATTAAACCACTCCTTCAGATTTTTCTTAATCGTTAGCGTCAGTTTTCGAAGCATCTGTTATCACAGCCTGAGAAGCTCTCAAATCCTCTCGTCGTTCTCCGTAAAAATAAAAAAAACAGAGAGAGAGAGAGAGAGAAGCAGAAGATTTTCCGTACCTTCAGTCTTTCCCGTTCGCATCGCGACACAAGCGCGGGCATCCGAGTTATCCCATGAACAGCAGCTTCAGACCCAATTTTTCCCCCATCGGAGTTATTCCACTCGCTGGTAATAGCAGCTGACATTCACAGCCGAGCCCCGATCAGCGGCTGTTCGCGAGTACCGTGAGATGGAGCAGCCGAGTTTCGAGCCGTGCGTATAGTAGCAGCAAGCCGAGGTTTTCTTTTCCCCATTCCCTTCAGTTTCCGAGCAGTCTGTGAGTCTTCTCGAGAAGCAAATAGCAGCACCGGGCCTCTCCATTTCACTTGGGCAGCAGCGAGTCACTTGGACAGCCTTGTGCCGTGAGTTTGTAGCGAGAACCGAGGCCATTTATCCAATCTTCTCAGCCGTTCTGTTTAATATTTCTCAAAGAAGGTATACCGCTTGAACCCTCTTTCAGTTACGAGTATTTTTGAAGAATTAATGTGAGTCTTAAGTTCATGGCGATGAGACGCTTAAATTAAGAGATTATAAGTTTCGAGTTATTGATATTGATGTTGAATTCTCTCTGGGATGTTGTAGTAGCCTCTGAAATTGGTTGTTTTTAAAGAATATAAGGGTCGAGATTTTTAATTTCAAAATTAAATGATGAGACAGGATCATATTGCTTGTTTGGAGCCTTGTCGGGTTTGGAAAGAATTTATTTTAAAACGAGACTGTTATTTCATGTTTAAAACCATACAGTCGAACTCCTAAAATGTATTTTTATTGGTCATAAGAGGTGTCGTAAAGGTTGAGGTAGTTGTTGGGTAAGCCGAAGTTCGGTCCCGGGCCACAGCAGCCGGGTGTTGCCAGGACGGCTGCCGCGAGCTCGCTGGCGCGCCATGCACAAGCGGGACGTACGCTTGTCGTGTACATTGCATGTCGCAAGGCCCGCGTGCCAGTAGCCTGTGCGGCCCCGTGTTGCCAACAACCCGTCTGTTCTTAGAGGTCCTCCCGCAGCCCAACACCCTCTCGACATTCTCCTAGTGCTAGCAGCAATCGTGGTCGTGTCCGAGGGCACGTGAGCTACTAGCAGCCAAACCGAGTGCAGGGCCGAGGCAAGTCGCCGCACCAGGTGCACCTGGAGCTACCCGCGGACTTGACCTAAGCCACCGGCTAGCTATCGGACTGCACCAGTCGAGCCAGAACCGAGCCCGTGTCAAGCCCGAACACATTTTTATATTATATTGAACTGTTCAGAGTATCCCGAGTTATTTTAGTATTTTGATTAAAACGTCCCGAGTCTTAAAATGATTTTTCGAGTCGAGGCTAATATTAGATTTTAAAATAGTTGATTTCGAGAATTTTTAAAAAGTACGAGTCGAGAGTTCCAACATCTAAGAAAGAGCAGAAAGTGTATAAATCATGAATCTTAAACTAGAAAATTCTTCAATTGATAAATTTATATTTGGGCCGTCCTTTTGCTTCAGTTGATAATTTATGAGATTATTTAGCGAATTTCCCATCATACCCTCCACTTTTGTACCAATGTTTGAATCATTCTCCTCCATCTCGCCGAGTGCATTCCACCGCGATGAAGAGCAACTGACATCCCCTTTTCTCCCTGCCCAATTTTATCAAAGAATTTATGAATAGGTATGATTTTTGCAGAACCCTCCAATTTTTCTGTTTTATTTTCACGATTTAGCATGCGCTACTTCATAAATTTTCTCCCTCAATTTTTCATTTAACTGATGTGAAATTTATGACGCCCCGAACTCGTGACATTCATTTTATGCATATTTAGTATTTTTTATGATTATTTATGATTTAATTGATGGTAATGTTATTCTTATTTTATTATTCATCAGCTCGACATTTTATGTTGGTAAATAATTAAGTAAGTGTCCTCACTTATTTAATTATAACTTATTGATAATGAGTTAGGTAGATGTCCTCATCTATTTAATTATATTTCTTTAATCAGAAATTAATTAATTAAAACCTTAGCAGTAATTAGCAGGAGTATTAATTAAGTAATTAAAACCCTGGCCTTTCACGTGGGAAATGTCAAGAATAGAGAGGAGAAATTATTCTAGATATTTTCTATGTATTTTGCTTCTTTACCAAGCAAATGAATCCTTTTCCTAGTCAACTTAAGAATCCTAAATTGATACAAAGTCTACTAAACCCTACCATTATATATAGACCTTCTCTTCATGAGATTATATTTTCTACGATCAGCTCACTCTCTCCTTTTCCTCTCGCAAAAGCTCACGCACGTTCAA